GAGAAGTGGAGAGACAGAACCAGCAGGAGGGTGTGGTCGAGAAAGGGGGAGAGAGAGGCTAGATGGGCCCCACCTGGAATCCTAGGCGCCCTCCGGCCAGGGCTAATTTCTTTTTCTATTCGGACTTGACCCCTCCTTGCCAGGATAATGGGCTTGAGCCTGGACCTTCTTGCCCAACATCCTCCCTGCTGTCTCTCAGAAGCCAGCAAAAAATTAAAGCGGGGCTTGGGGCATTACCGGAAATCAATACCAAATGAAAGTGGTATCATTTCACTTCAGCGTTTCAATCAGTAAGTGCAAATTAGGTAATGAAAGTAAAGGCCAGCTCCTGGTAAGTCGAACTAGAAAAACTCTAAATATTTCAATAAAATCGCTTTCATGGAGTCTCATATTTCCTGTAGCATTGGAAATGACACAAATGTTCTGTCTTTGAAAATGTGTCCCAAGTAGTTGAATACCAAAGCTGGTGGGACAAGTACTAGTAAATGCAGTTTGTTTGGAACAGCGCCGCCTTGTGGCAAAGTTTATTTAACACTTTCCTGTATTGTAATGTCTGTGGTCTGGTGGGTTAGTTAGCTCTATTGGGGAAAATAGTCTTGAATTATTCAAAAGGTTCATTTATTGACTATCTCCCAGAACACCCCTCTCGCATGCAATTGGACAGAAGTGTATCGTGCTCGTCACTTTCCTCATGACCAGAGAAGGGCTGGGTTCCAAATGTAATCAAATCCACTTTACTGCTTCTGCTAAATTCACCAAAATATCCACCTTTTACAACTATCCACCTCTCACGTATGACCTGTAGCCAGCTACCTATCTAAGACATAGAAAGCACAGGCCTCGTTCAACCCCTTTACTGGCCCTGGGCAAGTTACTTCACCTCTGTGGGCCTCAGTTTTCTCATCTGTAAAATGGTGAGAATAAACCACCGCCTTAAGATACTGCATGTAAGTCCTCTGTGCTGTCTCTGGCACATAGTACACACCTTAATTAAAAAATACTTTAGCCTTTAGCCGGTTTGGCTCAGTGGATAGAGCGTCAGCCTGCAGACCAAAGAGTCCTGGGTTCGATCCTGGTCAAGGGCATGTACCTCGGTTGCAGGCTCCTCCCTGGCCCAGCCCTGGTTGGGGCTTGTGCAGGAGGCAACCAGTTGATGTGTTTCTCTCACATCTATGTTTCTCTCTGTCTTTCCCTCTCTCTTCTACTTTCCCTAAAAATCAATGGAAAAATATCCTGGGACGAGGATTAACAACAACAACAAAAAAACCTTAGCTCTAGTCAGGTAGCTCATTTGGTTCGAGCGTCATTCCAGTATGTCAAAGTTGCAGGTTCAAGCCCCAGTCAGGACACATAATGAAAAATAAATAATAATACTTTATTGCTAAAAAATGCTAAGCATCATGAGCCTGTCGGTAAAATGACCCTGATAAACTTGCTCAAAAAAAAAAAACACAACAGGCAGTATTGAAGTGAATAAAGTACGGTGTGCCTCTACCTCTAATCTCCTGTAATCTGATTATCACAGCAGCCTCCCCACCCACACACACCCAGGAAAAAATCAACCAGCAAAACATCTCTAGTTCCTACACACCTTCATCTCTTCTAAAACACCTGCTCACCCCTCACCATCTTGTCAGGAAAACTCCTTCCACTTGGGGTGTGTAGAGAATAATAAATGGCCCCGTGCTGGGGGTTCGGTCTGTTTCTGGCTATGGTAGGGGGACTGCTTCCGTGGAGTAACTTAGCAAATACTCTCAAAGGCAGGAGGTCATGCGGAGATAATGCTGGACTTCCACCCGTCCCAGCAGCAAGTATTACGAGTGCCCCGCCCTGCACGAAGCCCAGGAGATACACAGATAACATAAATCCCTGCCTCGGGGAGCTCACCTTGGCCAATGGAGGCAGTGCTAGTGCCAGGAGGAAACTGAGGCCAAAGACGAGAGCTGGAAAGGCCCGGGGGTAGGGGACACGTGAGTCCTCAGGTGTGGCTTATCCAAAATAAAAGTGTCACCAGGTTCAAAACAGCAGGAGCACCTGCTGACAGTAGGCGCCTTAGAAGTTTCCAGAAGGAAAAGCAAGTCTGTGGCTGCCATCACGAACAGAAGGGGGAGAAGCCTTTAGGTCTCTGCTTAGAAACTGGCCTGGCCACCCGCCCATGACTGCCCCAGCCTGTCCCCTCGGGTGGGATCAGAATGGCAGCTCCGTGAGGGGAGGAATCGGAACTTGGCTCCTGGAGGCAGGTCCCACAACAGCAGGCGCCTAGCACGCAGGACAAGTTCAATGATATTGCTGAGTAAACAAAACCAATGAGATTCTTTGGAAGTCATTTGATTTTCAAGAGAAACGTGTGCTCTTTCCTCAAGGAAAAATGAAGCAGCCATTGTCAGCTGTGCTAACGTGAGGTGGGCAGGGACTAGGTATGACCGGAACAAACACCTATCCTTGCAAAAAGAAGCAATGGAAGGATAAATCAAAAACTAACTTTTGGGCCCAGCCGGTGTTGCTCAGTGGTTGAGCATCTACCCAGGAACCAAGAAGTCGCAGTTTGATTCCCGGTCAGGACACATGCCGGGTTTTGGGCTCCATCCCCAGTAGGGACTATGCAGGAGGCAGCCGATCCATGATTCTCTTTCATTCAGGTTTCTCTCTCTCCCTTCCTCTCTCACTAAAAGCAATAAAAACATTTTTTTAAATGGTTACTTTATAGAAGAAAGGAAACAGGGTGAGGGGATGGAGAGCTAGACATCCCTGAACACGCCTGGTTTTAGAGTTTGACTGTGAAAGCATGTTTTACGTAGCAAGATTATATTGAAAAAGGAGGGGGAGGTAAAGCAGTGTCTAAAGATGGAAAGCAATGAATCTGACCTTGCCATACCTCCCAGGTCATTTCACTCTCTACCACGACTGTCCCCTAGAGGGACCCCCTGAGCAGACCTGTGAGCACTGGAGACTCGATAACACTGGCCCCACCCCAGGCCCCTGATTCAGCAGGCCTGGGCCGAGCTGATAACCTGCACGCCTACCCAATTCCCATGGTGATGATTTGCCAGTCTGGGGCCACAGTTGAGAACCATTGCTATAAACAAGTAAAACTATATAAAAAAAATTTTTTTTGAAAACTTCATTTATGTAATCATGTTATCAATAATAACGGCATCAGGATTTGTTACATATAAAGGGTGTCCCAAAATTCACGCAAGATTTGAATTTTGCGTGAGCATTAACAACAAAAAATAAAAGCCTAATTTTACTTGGTTTATTGAATCAGATTCTAGTATCTGTTGCCCTTTGATTTCAATCCCTTCAATTGGATAAGCATTACCAAGTACCAATGATGGCCCAGGAGCAGGGACAATGAAGACCCATGAAGACCACGGCTTTGCGTATGTGCCAGCAAAGCCGTGGAGGCCATTTACCCGATGTGCTATTCCATATATAACCCTATACTGTGTACTTTATGAATCAATAAAAAATTTACAATTTTTAATTATAAACCTGTGTTTCCTATCAAAATTACTTCTTGCGTGAATTTTGGGGCACCCTTTAGTAAGGTAAAGTAGGTTATCATGTCATCAGAAACCCAGGGTTTCAGAAAAACAAAATAAGAAATCAAGATGTGTCTCTTCCATTGACATTTCTGTCTCTCCCTCCCCTAAAAAATCAAGGGGAAAATATTCTCAGCTGAGGATTAACAACAAAAAAGCATCATCTTAAAGAGGTATTTTCCTTCCATAATAAATGTTATTTGAGAGAGAGAGGGAGAGAAACATCCATGAGAAACAGACTGGCCGCCTCCTGCACACCCTCTCCTGGGGGATCAAGCCTGCAGCCCAGTGACCTCCGGTGTATGGGGATGACGCCCAACCAACCGAGCAAAACCAGCAGAGCTGAGGTGTTTTGTGAAAGAAAATACATTGTTTCAGCTCCGGAGCTGAAGCAACCCGACGATGCACCCCTTCTCCCCAGATGACTGTTCGCAATCACCATTTCCCATCGATGGAGCCCAGGGTCCGTGGAAAATGTCTCCAGGTCTGCATCTCAAGTGTTCAGGATGAACCCAAAAAGTCTCATAGCAAAAAGCTAAGAGGCCTTCAGACCGTTGTCTCAAACTCAAACACAGAGCCACCTTAGAGGAGCCTGTTGGCCAGAGACAGGAGACTGAGCGTCCAAAGTCCATCCGGCAGTCGTGTCTGGAAGATGCTGGTTGGTCCCCAATCTGGTGACTCCTTTACATTTAAGCTGTCAGGGGAACCAAACCACAGTGAGGTCTTCACAGGAGTCCAACTCACAAATGCGTAAGGAATGACAGACTTTATTACAAAATCACCTTGTGTGACATTCCCAACGTTCAAGGGTTGCTAAAACCCAGAGGAGGAAGGTTGATGGGAAATTCGATACAGGTTGCTCACTGGGACTTCTGAACCCACCAGCCCAACTTACCACTACAGGTTGGAAAGCCCCATGCTATATGTGTCCAGTAGTGACGCCACAGAAGTCCATAGCCCCTCCCCCCCAATCTGAGCTCCAGTCTACCTTAAACCTCTAGCTGAAGTGACCAGTTCATAGGATACAGAGGCTGGAGAAACAGGTTAGAGGAAACCACACACAAGTATGCAAGAAACCCAAACAAGAATGCGTAGGACCAAGGACCCAGTTTCTTAGATGAAATGTCGCCCAGGGGGGTCAGACCAGCTAAACTTTTGTTGGGACCCTGAGTGAACCTCCGAGCTGTGAGATGGCAGCCGGCTCAAGGAACCTTGGCCATTCAGCCACGTGATCATAAAAAGCGCTGTTTTAGGGATGAAATTAAATCAGTCTGAGATTTGCTTTAGAAAGCTGGGGGGAGAGGGACGGAGGCGCAGAAAGACACAAAATGTTGCTCAGGATGAGGGTAGTCATTATACTAATCTCGCTACTATCGTGTCTGTTTAAAATTGTTTATAAATAGTTAAATGAAACAAAATCGGAAACCGAACACAATAAAGACCAGAAACCAAGACTGCAAAACACCAAATCTATATTTACATCCACATATAATAACATAACTTTAAGCTGAAATATATCATAAATAAAACAAGTAACATCTACTGTTTGACAACTTATGTATCAACAATTAAAATAAATCAAACTGGAATGAAATAAATACATAAACAAAAATCCAACAGATTGTACCTCTATTATATGTACTGTTGTCCCAAAGGAAAAAAACATACAAAACCAGTAGTATCCCAATAGTTAATACTGATGGACAAAAATAATAACAACAACATATTTTGGAATACAAGGGCTGTGAAAAAGGAAAAAAAAACTGGTATTTTTATACTTTTAGAAATGTGGTTAGGAAGGAGAAATAGGAAAACCCCCATAATTTCAGCATAACACGAACTGACTTGTTTTCACATAGATTTGGTGATTTTTTTTAAATAAAGATTTAAGTTTCAGCCCTCTACTATGATGTATCCCCTTTAAGATTTACACTTATAGTCAGAGCAAGCTTTCTGTAACACTCATCAGATTAGCAATGATCAAGTCAATCATCTTCGCAAATGTGTTAATCTTCAAAAATAGGCTATAAAAGTGCAAAACTATGGAAACAAAAATCTAGATTATGTACATATGGCTCAGCTTGTGAACAGGAAAAGGGGTTAATAGTGTACGCTTTCCTGATACGAAGCACTTCGCTGCAAGGCCAGCAGACTGATCTCAGGCCGGTCTCCCTGTCTGTCACACGGGAGTTAAGACTTCTCGTTCATGTTGCATAATGAAAACAAAAAAAACAAAAAAAAAATCAAGATTCTTTTAGGACTTTACCCTTAAGACAAGAAACATTAACAGTGCAAAATTATTTTTCAAACAGTTTTCTGAGTAAAATGTTAAACCCAGGGGCTGCTGGAGAACTCAGCTACAAACTGCAAATTAAGGGGCGGGAATTTAAAACATCCAGTCGCCAACTGGTGGCTCTTTTCTCTTTAAAACCCAAATTGCATGTGTACTGAGAAAACGCTGTTACTTTAAAATCAAAAATGGGAAGACAACTGAAGTCTAGAAGCAGGCCACTTCTTCCCCGGTTACCAGAAGGCTCAGGCCAGAAGTTCTTATTCAGAACCAACGTGTCTGAATATGCCCACTGTTGACCCCAATGCAGACGCACTTACTTCCAATACAAACCTAAAAATTTCCCCCAAACTTTAATTTCCTTGAAAATTGCTTCCAATATCTGTATCATGTATAATTTAGCGTTTTCATTTTTTATCTACTAATTTAAGCAAACACCTAAAAAAACTGAATTTGCCAACAAAAATGATTCATTTGAGAGGAGACTAATTTGAGTAGCTCCACATACACTTTGGTGCGTGTGCGGGCAGCTGGCTGCTCGGAGAGGAAGCGCTGCCCGCAGACACCCACTCCCCAGAGGGGACCGTGGAGCTGCTCCTCCTCGGCGACACCGTGACATTTGTGATAACAGGGCACCAAATCGGAGTAGCTGACCTCGACATATGCAGCAATATTCACAGAGGGTCAATACTTCCATTAACAAATTTTAAGACAACAGACTGCGGACAATTTAACATAATACAAATCATCAAAAATTTTAAAACGTACATCTTAAATGAAAGAGCACAAATAGCAGGATCTGCTCAGAGTGAGGAGCTACATGAGGAAAAGGATGCACAGGGTACTGAAACAAGCAGGTACAACTTATATATGTACAGATTTTACCTGAGGTGCAAGCATTATATACTTTCTCCCCACCCACCCCCAGCGCAAATGATTCTTTTCAGCAGCGCTCAAGTATGCAAAAACTCTGCTTATTTGGTCAATTCTAAAAAAAAAATATTATTCAGGGACAAAATAGAGATTTCCCGTCTCCATTTGTATACAACTCAACTGTTCCAACTATAGTTTTTATTGCTATTTGGTACAAAAGTTAACAGAACCACTTTGCAGCACGTAGTGTTCCTTGCGCGTATGTACAGTACAGTCACAGCTTATTTCAGTAGCTTTCACCGCTCACTTTCTCGAAGGATGAACTGACTCAACTGCATGGAGCACACATCCATCAAGACCTAAGGGAAACAAAGGTGTAAAGAGTGACTGCGATAAAACGGAGGCGGGTTTAAAAAACAACCCTAAGTGCACCAAACCAACAGAACCACCAGAGCTCGAGCCCTGCGTGTGCGCTGGAGCCTGAACTCTGCAGTGGAAGTAGCGGGAGACAGACAAATAGATAGATAAAGCCACACAACTTCCATGGTCATTGGTATTTATTTCACTGATTCGGCGGAGAGGAATGAACCAAGACTCAGAATTCACATCAGTGAATTCAGTCTGCAAAGCCAGTTGCCACTCCAACAAACTCTGCAATTTTCTACTGTTTGAGAGGAAAATGTATGGACAGACCAGGAGTCATTAACAAAACAAGTGACTCAGAGTAACCTCCGTCCACAAGAAGGCACATAAAAAGTTTGTAACATTATCTGTTCAACATCTACCTAGTTATCAATGACAGTCCCGGCTATGGGCTAGGCCAGCCGTGGGCAAACTACGGCCTGCGGGCCGGATCCGGCCCGTTTGAAATGAATAAAATAAAAAAAAAAAAAAAAAAAAAAAAAAAAAAAAAAAAAAAAAAAAAAAAAAAGACCGTACCCTTTTATGTAATGATGTTTACTTTGAATTTATATTAGTTCACACAAACACTCCATCCATGCTTTTGTTCCGGCCCTCCGGTCCAGTTTAAGAACCCATTGTGGCCCTCGAGTCAAAAAGTTTGCCCACCCCTGGGCTAGGCACTGGACAAAGGACTCTCCTCTGGCGCTCAGCTAGTGGTGGGAGTTAGACATCTAGGTGAGACGGGCAGAAAAGGGCATGAACCACACTGGCAGAGGCAACACACCTGGGGAAGCAGCCTGGCTCTCTGCAAACATTTGCAGAAATGGTATGTGAGCTGGTCCTGAAGTATCAGAAAGGTTGTTTGACAAGAGGGTGCAGGTCCTTGGCCACTGTGGCTCGGTTGGTTGAACATCCTCCCATGTGCCGAAAGGATACCAGTTTGATTCCCTATCAGGACACATGCCCCAATTGCAGGATCAGTCCCAGTTGGTTGGGGTGTATACTGGAGGTAACCGATTGATGTTTCTTTCTCACATCAATGTTTCTCCCTCTCCTCCTCTCTATCTTCCCTCCTCCCTCCTTTTCTCCCCCCACTCTCCCTTCCTCTCTCTAAAAGTCTGGAGGATGCAGAAAAAGGCCAGTGCTGGACAGACAGGACAGTCAGCCTGTACTGTTACTGATGGGCTGTAGTGCACAGTGCAAGTAATCTGTCAGTAATAATCTGTTCCACTCACAACTACCCAACTCTGCAGCCACAGACAATATCATGGCCTGGTGCCAATAAACTGTACTGACAAAAACAAGCAGAGAGCAGTCTGCTGATGCCTGACCTACCGCCACCTGCTGGAAGAAGGATGAAATAAAACCATGTTTATAAAACATTCAATGCCTACCTACCACAAAGTAACTGCTTACTAACTTTCAGTTGCTATCTTACTGTTTCTCTCCTGAGCACTCTAAGTTTTAATAAAACACCTAAAAAAAATTTTAAACGAAAATGAAAAGCAATTTTACTTTCTATTATACTGGCAAAGCTAGATGGCTTATTTTCAATTAAACAAAATCAATACATTATATATATGCTCACCTTTCTTCCCCAAAATAGGAAATCAAGTTTTCTTGTCATTTGGCCGATAATGTGCATTCCCAATAAAATTCTCATAGTTTCTCTTTTGAAGCATGCTGCTAGATAAGTGTTGATAAGACACAGGCCTTTTTCCTGTTTGAAAAAAAAAGTGTAAAAGGGCATTTAGAATTCAGTTTAAGCCATTAGGTAAGTTGTGGGTGGGCTGTCAGAGGTCAATTTTCTAAATTCCTAACTGATAATGTGATCGGAGCACACCAGTCCGTTGCCACCAGTCCGTTGCGTCTTTAAGAGCCAGGAGGACATGTGTTACCACAGGATCTTAGGTCACTAAAGCTAAATCCTCAAAGTCCTGGCTGTTGTAGAAAGAACTAAAAAGCCAGAAGAAAAAAGGCAGCATAAGATACTTTAAAGCTAAATCCATCAAGAACCAAAACTGTGGAAGAGAAAACCACTCATTTAAAAAAGGACTCTACTTGCAACATGTATCTTCTCATCAAGTAAAGACAAAGTTTTGACTCATGTCTGCTTTAAGTGTAAGGGGGGAAAATGGGCACATTTAATCAAAAGGCAACAAAAATTAATATTTCATCGCAACTTTTAAAATCATTGCAGTGTGGAAAGCAATTGTTTTTTAATTAGCGATCAATTCACATCAAGCTACCCCTGATGGGTACTATCACCATACACAATCCATAATCTGACATTAATAAGCACTGAGCTTACATTCTGCAGGAGGGTTAGCGGGACAGGCCCAGGACACTCTCATCTACCCTTTCACAGGCAGACACCCCCGCGAAGCACTGCCAAAAGGAAGCCGAGGCTTTGAACACACTCCCATGGGGAGAGCACCAGTTATCTACAAGCTAACAACTGACATAAATGAGGAAGTACTGGCACTTTTGAAATTCTCTTAGTATTTCCCAAGGACTAAGTAGGCAATATAATTCTATTAGTCCTGACATCAAAACTGCTCAAAAGATTGTTTAAGAGCAGTTCGCACAGGGTCTGCTCCTGACAGGTCAAGGTCGTCAGGTAGCATTTACTCCCTACCCCTGGCCTCCCTTGTGGGGGCACGTGAGCGCTGCAGGCAATATAAGTTCTCCAAGATGCGTGCTCCACTCTAAAGGAGCTGACAGCCTAGGAGGGGTGGTAAGATGTGGGCAGAAGTTCCCCAAGTCTCAAATCCCAGGGTAGGTTGGGCGTGAGTGCTGGGCACACCACATCTGTGGGAGGAAAAGACCTGATGGGGGAGGTGACCAGGGCCAAAAGGCACCTGAGATTTCAGAGCAGGAGAGGGTCAGGTCAGGGTTCCTCAACAGCCTTTCTGATGATCACCCCCACAAGGCAGAAAGATTAAATCAGCAAGAGAAAGTCAATACTCAGGAATAAGACCATACCCTGGAGGGCTGAGCTTTGGGGACCACAAACCATTGCCAAACCTAGGAACACCCCACTGTCAGACACCTCCCCCCCACTCTGTCCCCGGGAGGAACCCCCACAAGAATGCACAGCTGAACTTGGCTGGGCAGTACCTTCCAGCGCCGCGCCAGCCGCAGAGCCCGCAGGGGTGCATGTGTAGAGCGCCCCGGGCCCGCTGTAGGGCGTGTGTAAGGTCAGCACATTGGCGGAGTCGATTTCGCCTGATGCCAGGAACCGCGGCTTGGCGGGCAGCACCTTCGGCGGCGGGAACGCGTACTCCGGGGGCAGCAGCCTTGTGGCTCCGCGGCCCACCGTGTACTTGGGCAGGTCAAGGACCCTTCGGTAGTGGGGCCCAGGCTGCTCCGCATCCAGGACCACAGGCCCGGCTTTCGGCCGCTTGGGAAGCGGCTCTCCGAGCTCCGGGCTGGCAACACCTGCGCTGCGGCCACAGAAGTAGTCTCTTCCCGCGGGCGCCCACAGGCCGTCGTGCTTGGCCGAGAAGTCAGCCGAGCCATTGATGGTGCTGCTGCTCGAGGGCTGGGACACGGAGACCACCGGGGCTTTGAACTTCGTCTCTGGCCTTTTGGTCTTCTCCGGGGCAGGAGAAACTCCGCTTTTAGAAAACATCTCCGAGGGCTGCTGCCTGGCGGCTGAAGCCCCCTGCACCCCGATGCTGGGCTGTGGCCTGTGCGACTTCAGGTTACTGGGGGCTAAAGTGCTAGAGTCAGTCCCTGAGGCCAGAGGGGCCTTGCCTGGCCCTGCGGGACCCGGCTTCCCCTTCTCGGACGGCAGGGTCTTGGACTGGGCTGGGAATGCGGGCTTGGGCTTGGGCTTGGGCTTGGGGAAACTGGACAAGGGAGGCACGTCTTTTCCCAGTAGAGCTGGTGGACAGCCAGTGCGTCTGTTTCTAAGCCAAGACTTGTTTCTACAGTTTTTGTGACCGTCGGGATTGTATTTATGCTCCAGTCTCTGATGCATCATTAAAACTTCTGGATAAAAGGTCTTGAAAGTACAAAATGGGCAGGTGATACTTGGGATTAAACTCTTGCTCAAAGAAATTGCTGGGCAACTGTGAAGTGCCCCGAGGGATAAATTTAAAGGTTTCTCTTGACAGTCCATGCTGGGCTTCACTCTGCTGTCTGCTGCCACCTCTGCCTTCTCTTTGAGGCCAACCTCGGCCTTGTGGGCGGCAGTGGCGTCTGGGTGAGGATGAGGCGGAGCAGCCACTTCTGCTCTGTGAGCGAGGTTGATAGCCTGAGCTTCGGGCGCTGGTCTCTTCTTTAACACGTCCAAATAAGCAGGGGCTGGGTGTCTGCCGAGCTGATCAGCACTACCTTCAGTTGCATTTTTATTGAAATCCTGAGTATCTTTGTGTACTGGCAAGAGGACAGCGCTGCCCAGAACATTCTGAAAGGCAGGGGCCATCCCCTTAGGTTGCTTGGCAGGTGGGCTGCCTTTCACATCTTTGGCACCATCGAAAAATCTTTTCAAATTTTTGGTTTGCGCACTGTCGGCGATGAGTAGTACATCTTCCGTTTCCTGGTTTTTCCCTTCGCTCTTGACCTCAGCGGCCACATCGACCTGCTTATCTTTGTGGTGTCTCTCCAAGTGATACCGTAGAGAGGTCTTCTGGGCTGCAGCATAGTCACAAAATTCACATTTGTATGGTTTTTCACCTAAAACAAGAAACACTACCATATTACAGAAGTTTATGAAAAAATCAAAAGAGATCTTTATCACACAGAATACAGGGCTCTTTCCTTTTCCCTCTCCATCTACTAATCTTCATATCCAGGGGTCCTCATGAGGTGTTTCTTTATCACGCTTACTATACTGAGTATTTGAACATGTGAATACGTCTTAATTTTTAAAATAAAATAGCAACATTTTATACTTCTCTAACCTTCATAATAGCCCTATGGAAGTGAATATTATTATCCCATCTCTACAGCTCAGAAAACAGGGGCTCAGAACAGGTCAATCATTTGACCAAAGTTGCAGAGCTAGTGAGAGGAAAAGATGAAATTCAAGTGCAGGCAGCTTCCTACCCACTGTTACAATTGCTTCTATAATCTAAAGAAAAAACTGTAAAATATATTCCCGTTTCATTCTACACTATAAAAATAGAAAGAAGCTGTGACCTTAAAATACATTAAAGGCCTTGGCTGGGTAGCTCATTGGTTAGAGCATTGTCCTGATAACTTTGCCAACGTTTCAAGTTTCGATCCCCAGAAAGGGCACATACAAGAATCAACCAATGTCAATAGGAAGGTGATTGCCAGAGGGAAGGGAATGGGGAGGTAGAAGGTAAAGGGGGAATAGTGGTGATGGAAGGAGACTTGACTTGGGATGTTAAATATATATACAATATACAGACGATGTGTTGTAGAATTGTATACCTGAAACCTATAATTTTATTAACCAATGTCACCCCAACAAGTTCAATTTAAAAGTAAAAGAATGCATAAATAAGTGAAGTAACAAATCAATGTTTCTCTAAAAGCAATCAATAAATAAAATTTTTTAAAAACACATGAAAGAGGTTTGAAAATGAGAGAATATGGTAATCAGAAACTAAACAGGAAACTAATTTCAAAATAGGAACTATAGTTCAAGTTACAATGATACTGAAAGTATTAACATGACAGCTGCAACTTGCATGCTACGTTTATTCTTAAACTAGTCCAAGGACCTACCAGATTATCTGAACAGCAACAAAAATCAGACACAAAGCACATTGTAATTCTTTTGATTAATACATCCTTTAAGGAAATCTAAAAAGTTCCTTACCTGTATGCGTTCTGAGATGAATATTGAGGTAATAATTTGAACGGAAAAACTTTCCACAGTAACTACATTCTCTTGAGGATGTCAGATGCTTTATTTTGCCTCCATCATCATTTTTATCTGAAAGCAGAAACAAAAATACGTAAAAAGACAGCTCAAGTACATCAATACGGCAAGTTGACTGAAATTGTCTTGATAGAAACATTTTTCAAAAAGCATACAATAACTTTTTTTTTTTTTAAATATATTTTATTGATTTTTCACAGAGAGGAAGGGAGAGAGATAGAGAGTTAGAAACATCGATGAGAGAGAAACATCGATCAGCTGCCTCCCGCACATCCCTCACTGGGGATATGCCCGCAACCCAGGTACATGCCCTTGACCGGAATCGAACCTGGGACCTTTCAGTCCGCAGGCCGACGCTCTATCCACTGAGCCAAACCGGTTTCGGCCATACAATAACTTTTATATTAGTGTTGGGTAAACCAAAAAGGCTAAAAACACACCAAATGTTTTGAGGTTGTCTGCGGTTTTATATCAAGCACGTGTTTAGTTTTTTTGTTTGTTTAGGGTAGGTTTTTGGACTGCAGCAGTTTACTGTTAAAGACTGAGTTTTCTGCCCAGCTGACGTGACTCAGTGATTGAGCATCGACCTAGGAACCAGGAGGTCACAGTTCAATTCCTGGTCGGGGCACGTGCCCAGGTTGCAAACTCAATCCCCAGTGTGAGGCGTGCAGGAAGCAGCCGATCAATTATTCTCTCTCATCACTGATGTTTCTCTCTCTCTCCCTCTCCCTTCTTCTCTGAAATCAATAAAAATATATTTTTAAAAAAAGACTGACTTTTCCATTTGCTAATCAGGGAAAGATCATTGACAGCCAGATGCGCAGGCAGCCCTCTCCACGTGGCAGAGTGAGCAGGATCGAACCAGCTGGAGCCGGACCTACACAAACGGCTGGAACAACCAGCTTCTTCAGAGCAAGTCTAATTTAGAAAACAGCCAATATAAATCACCAATTTTCCCAACCACCAGGGAAAATAGACTTTTATCTTAAGATTGGGCAAGTTACCACTAGAGGGTAGCAATCACAACTTAATCTTCACAGAAAATAAAAGGTTTGGCATCAGCAACCACCTAGGAAAGTTTGTCAACACTTAGCAACGTTCTGGAAAGCAGATTGTATTGTCCACAGCACACACATGACCACAATCTAGCTGACAAGTCAAACCTGTCCTCAATTACAATGCGTTAAACTTTACACTTCAATCTGGACAGGATGATCAGGACAGTGTATCTTACAGGCAACAGAGCAAAGGTCAACTGGGGACACATAATTAAAGGATCGTTAAATATCACGCCAGCCCTCCAAAAGACAATTATTATGTGCTGCAGTAAAAATACCCGCTCCCCCAGAAATGAGTGGTTAAGTTTTAGCTCAATGTCCTCTTATTGTAGAGCTCATCTTACGAACATTACAATATGATGAGTGGGACAACTATTAAAATTTAGCATAAGTAGCCTCGTCATTTTGCCTTAAAAAACTTATTTCCAGCTAAAAGGCTTCTCTCTCCCCTGCTCCTTCCACATTTCACATTCTCGATTATTTATAGCTCACTGATTTTAAAAAGCAGCTTACAAGCCAACCCTCAGTCAGCCTCCAGGTACAATAAAGACAGGACCGTACACTCCGTCACCCTAAGTTCCCCTGAGAAAAATGTGTCCACCGCTTAACCTCTGAACACCTCTACGTGTGCTAACATGGCAGAGACAACCCTGGATCTAAAAAAAGGTGCCACAAGGACTTTAAAAGGTAATCACAGGAACTATTATTAAACCCACTTCTAAAAGCTGGAAAAAAACTTGTAATGAATTATTTACTTCGCTTTTGGATCTTCTTAAAAGTAAATCTATGCCCAGCCGGTGTGGCTTACTAGTTGAATGTCGACCTGTGAACCAGAAGGTCACAGTTCTATTCCCGGTCAGAGCACATGCCCAGGTTGTGGGTTCAATCCCCCATGTGGGGCGTGCAGGAGGCAGCTGATCAATGATTCTCTCTCATCATTGATATTTCCCTCTCTCTCTTCTCCGTTCTTCTCATATTAAAACAACAAAAAAATAAATAAATCTAAAGAAAGCCAGGTTGATAATAAATTATAGTAAACTCAATCTAGACCAGAAGGCATCATCAGAATACAGGGCAGGACAAAAGTAGGTTTACAGCTGTTCAAATGGAAAATACAGTAATTAATAAATACAAGAATAAAGTCTGTCACAACTCACAACTGCAAGCCTACTTTTGCCCCAGTCTCATAAATCTAGGAAAAACAATTCCCCGCATACAGAACACCTAGCTCTCCTTACAATCACACTCAACTAGCCGAGTCTGTTGCTGGGTTGGTACCTTAATCGCAATTTCCTACTTCCAACTATGTGTCAGGATTTATGGTATGTTGCATCAGATCCAAAAGGTTAGGCAATGCCTTTGTTCTAACAGAAAGGACATGAAATGTCCCCATCTACCTGGTTCCTGCTCTTTTTAGCATCACCTTTGATTTTACAGTGCTGTCCTTTAAGGACTGAACTTTTTATAGGCAAGCTGTGGAAATCATCCTTGAGAGGTGAAAGACGAGGAAAATTTCGATGAACCAATTTCGCAAACAGGGAAATCAGGGCAAAGAAAGGTTAAGCAACACATAATCGGCCACAAAACAATGCAGTGGCAGAACCAGACTAAACCCGGGTCTTGGCGCTCCCAGCTATAATGGGTATTCTAGTTGCCCGACGACCAAGCCCAAGTTTTCCACCAGGTTCTTTTTTTTTTTTTTTTTAATTAAAATTTTTAAAATATGCTTTTATTGATTTCAGAGAAAGGAAGGAGAGGGAGAGATAGGTAGAAACATCAATTGAGAGAGAATCATTGATTGGCTGCTTCCTACAAACCCTCTACTGAGGATCGAGCCCACAACCCATGCCCTGATCGGGAACTGAACTGTGACCTCCTGGTTCATGCTCAACCACTTAGCCACACTGACTGACATTCCACCAGGTTCTTCTGCCCACACCACCTGCTGGCAGAACATGGACAGGCCATTTCATTCCTCTCGGAGCTTTGGGGCATCTCTAGAGCCTCATTATTTCCCAATGATCACATGGCCCTGAACAGAACCAACTCTGAAAGACACCACCTAGAAGACTAGAGGGCTGGGTTTAAAGTTTTTATGATGTCACTAAGACACCATAATGTATTTTCTGGACTTCTGAACACTGAAGATGGTAGTTCTCTAAGTGCTAGGTTTCCTGCATCCCAGGAAACTCAAAGCAGTCTAAATATCTGACATGAAAACCACAGTTCTCACATCTACCACGTGATCAGAAAAAGAACCAGGCACAAGCTTAAAAGAGGATGGCAAGTCCCATGTATTATCTGGTCAAACTCATCTTGGGTCTCACGCGCAGACATCTTACAGACATCCAGTCAAGTTACAACAAAAGGCAGCATTTGTTTTAACTGAAAACACTTTCCTAAATGATAACGTTTCTCTAAAACTAACTCATGTTCTCATCATCCACTTGCTGGGTTTTATAACTGCTTTCCAGCAGCAGAATTCTTTATTCAAGCAAAATATGGTCAAATGGATGAGAAGCTCTGGGAGAAGAGAGGGTGGACAAGGCTCCCCACAGGTGGAGTCCTCTGCCCTGGCTAGCGTCCACTGGGACTCCAGCAACCTGTTAACCAGCCTTCAATAGCAGCTTCCGGTTCCCATATTAAATGTCATTAGCACAGTAGAAACTTGGCAGAGCAAATGAGATTGCTTGAGAACCCCTTTGGTGTGTTCACATGCCCTGTATTTTACAGACACATTTATTTCTGAGGTAACTTAATGAACACTACCCCCAGACACAAAGGACGGGATACCAGGCACACCAAGTGGTGTGCAGTATTCTCACTCTGGTTACCCATCATTCCTAGTGCCTTGTCACCACTGGAAATCCATTTGCAATAAACATATGAGAGCTGGGCCTTGACAGATAGGGAAGTTTACTGCATAAGGGTATCTTATTTTTATAGGTAAGATCAGGAATGCCAAAAAAAAGTTAAGCAAAAGCCAGGGTCTCAACCCTGAGCTACTGAGTTTGGGAGGATCTTTCTCTGTTGTGGGGACATCTGTGCACTGGGGGATGTGTAGCAGTGTACCTGGCCTCCACCCACTGGGTGCCAGCAGCACACACCCCCACACAGTTGTGCCAACCAAAAATGTCTCCAGACACTGCCAGATGTCCTCTGGGGCAGCGGTCACCAACCGGTGGTCCGTGAGGTCCGATAGGTTGGCGACCACTGCTCTGGGGCAAAACCACCCCTTACAAAGCATCACTTCAGGCTGATGCACAAGATGATAAAATGTGTGTCCTTTATTAGCAAAATATAAAATCCCAGAACTTTCAGAACAGGAAGAAACCTTGATAGATAGGTCTTTTAACTCAACCCAGAGGGGGTCAAGTGACTTTCGACAGGGTGGTATCCCAATAGCCTGGACTCCAAGGCCCCGGACCCTGAGCTGCCCAGACCCTGAGCTGACCGTGCCCTCAGAGGGCCGCGTCCAGCACGCAGCTTACCCAGATGGAGGCCTTCGGGAAGTCCGTCCTCGGATCCATCTTCAGAGCCTCCTTCTCGATCTGTGGCTCCGTTTTCATCCAGGGTGCCGGCTAGGTCTGGAGAACACGTCCTCAGCTGCCGGCCGTCCACAGACATGGTGGGCGACTCAGCATCTGTCCTCCGGTCCTTCTTGTGGACTCTCGAGTGCAGGACCAGCTGGTGGTAGGTTCTGAACACCTTGCCACACTCAGAGCAATGCGTGGGCTTCTCACTCTTACTGGACAACTTGGGGTCCGCGTCCCCAGAAGGCACTTCACCGTTGGCATGTCTAGGCTTCTCCTTATCTTGTGCTAGGCCTGTACAACCGCTCTTATTGGATCTGGACTTTCCAGAACCTTCAGGATGGCTTTTACTCCCATTCCAGATTTCTCCAAGCTCTTCTTTGTCCGAATCATCGTTGTCGGTGCTCCCTTCCTGCCCGGGCTGCTCCTTCACCTCCCGGCAGACGGCGACTTTGCCCTTGGTGGCCAGCTGCCAGGCCTGGTAGGTGGTGAATGGGTCGAGCTGAGGTATCCATCTGGTGGGCTGCTTCACGGTTTCAGGGTGAGCTTTGGGTCTGAGGTTTAAGAACTGCAGGAACTCGTCTCTAGGGGCTGGCATCCCCGTCTGCTGAGAGTCTGCCTGGGGACTGCTGTCACCGGAAGCCGTGTCTTTGGTGTGCATCTTCCTGTGATCAATTAGACTTTCTATATTTGGAAATAGGAAGCCACAAACCATGCACATCTTGAAAGGAGAGGAGATGCTCTCCGCAGCCTGCTCCTGGACAACCTCGTTGATGGTGACTGGGCTTTCCAAGCCCTGCTGCAGCTTGCTCTTGGCCCCCGACTTGCCGTTGTGTGTTCGCATGTGGTTCTTCAGAAACCAGGGCTCCTTGAACCTCCGTCCACACACGTGACACCCATAGGTGAAAGAGTCCTTGTGTTTCTTCATGTGGATCTCCACGTCAAACGCAACTCTGAACGTCTGCCCACACACTTCACAGCTCAGGTCTTCATTCTCTTTGCCACTCTTGTCCTTGGGGGGTTCTGTTCGCACTTGGCCTTTATCCAGAGGGCTGAGATACTCTGCTTCCACACGCAGAACTGCGGGCTCACAGAGGATGGGCCGGTGCTGCAGCAGCACGTGCTTATTGAGGTCTTCAGAGTGGGTGAAGGTCTGACTGCAGAACATGCAGTCCAAGGGCGTGTAGCCTTCGATTTGGATGATGCTCTTCTCTTGCGTGGCTCTGAAAGGAACAGTGGTGGTCCCTTTTACTGACATGGCATCATCTAGCTCCATCTGGCTGCCAAGAGAATTGCCAATAACTTCCGGTCCATCCATATACACTAAGAGAGACTGAGTTGGCATGTTTCCTGTCACTTCAGGACTGTGTATAAAATAAGAATCTGGCTGAGGAATTTCTGGACTTGGAATAAGGCCACTTGTAATACTTGTCACTCACACCCCCAGCAGTCCTGGGCTTCAAAACTAGAGCAAATATTTGTTATAAAAGTTCAAAAGAAAATGTATATTCCTCTAACTTCTTATCTTCAGAAGTCTTAGGAAGCTCAATGGCAGAGTATCACTGGTTCTTTCCGCGATGCTTTGATTCAAATATGAGTCAGCACAAAGCATTACTTCTCTTTGTCTCCACTGAGAGCGAATGAGTCAGTTGAGCCAGTCAATTCCAGCAATCTGGAGACAAGATTTCCAAAACCTAGAGGGGGAAAACAGAAAGGGTTAGCTACGGCCCGAAAGAGAGGGCTGGGTGCATGGTCACAGGGACCTTTTCCATGTAGCAGAGAAGGCATAACTTAACACAGCGCCAGCCTGTTAAACAAGCTTGTTGATTAAATAACGATTTCATTTATCCAATCAGCACACCTATTACATCACTAGAATTCCATCCAGTTAGGAAACTTAAAACATGGTGCTTTAATGGTTTAAATCCAAACTGTGCAGTTTCAGGATAGAAACTGTCCAATTCAGATAATACATCTAAAATGTCACTGAACTGTACATCTGTATATTTATAAACAGCCTCTACAAATCTAGAGACTATAAGAATAAGATGACAAAGAAAGGTAAAATTTTAAAAGCCAGAGCTTCAAACTGTCTTATATACAAAAGAACAGACAAGAAACACACATGCCTGAAAGCACACTAGGGGATTACACAGGTCGAACACACAAAATAGGGACCTTTCCTAAAATTCCCCTCAAGAAATACAGAACACCTCAAGATGGTGGTTCATCTTGGCCAAGGGAACCATGAGAAATTCTGGTTCACTGGATACTGTATACCCCAAACCACTGCCCAATCCCAGTTTGCTTTTGACAACTCTCTATCTTCAACAAGCATCAGGGAAGGCTTCCTGTCCAATAAGGAAATACATACAACACTACTTTCTGAATGTACACGTTTAAAATAAGATCCTCAACATAACTGGTTCAATATGCCTTACTTAGTCTTGAAGTCAGAAATGGGTCTTTCATTTGTATCCACCTTTCGCATGTGCACTGGCGGGGGGGGGGGGGATGTTACTGCATTTAGCTCTGACGGCTGATTTAGAAGTCAATTTTCACTCTTGGAGAAGAATTAACCTCTAAAGCCAAAACCCTCCACCTTTACAGCAAGTATAGGAACCGTTTTTAAATAATCCCAACTACTTTAACTGAAGTCAGTTAATTCTACCCAAGAAAACAAAAGGCCATGCTAATTACTCCCACCACAGGCAGGCAACGTTAAAGAAAAAAAAAAGTTTACTTTCCTTCTCTCCACTTCCTCAAAGAGCAAGCTCAAAGACGAGGAAACATTTCTTCACACTCATCAAAGAGAAACTGTTCATATTCCTTGTTATCTTCATTTTGAAAAAAACTCAACTTTAAACTTTTCCAAATAAGACTATAGGTCAAAGATCAGAGTAAAGAAAGAATGCACTGAAGTATTCTGTGTTAATTTCTTAGTCTTTTGTTTGCCATCACAATAGAGGGCCAACCCATGGGCTGACTACCAACTTGGAGGGATATCATAGAAGACTCCGGAAACCTGAATTCTAGTCCTGCCTGGGTCACAAACTTAAAGTGGTCACCACATTATCTCAACCATATCTACTTAATGCTTTTAGTGGCAAAAAAAGGTGATACATTATAGGTCACCTCATAGTTCCAAAATTCTATGGTTCTGGGGGACAGACCTATATTTATGGACAGATACAGTCAAAAGGATACTTAATGACTATACTAATCAAAACACTAAATGATATTTGAATACATGACTGATCATTTAGGTTTCTATTCAGGCATTTATCATTCAACAAATATTTACTGACTGCCAGCATCCCGCGTACTATTTTAACTGAAGAAATTACCAGCACGTATTCTAGAAAAGCAGTTACCAAACCCTGACAACACTGTTTTCACTAGCCAACAGCTAAGTGAGAAAAAGAAAAACAACTCGAGGAGTTCATATTCATTTCAATTTGAATAAAGACTGCCCTCTATTTAAGCTCTTTTCTAGTTTTTGGTGCTAAAATAACCTTTTTAAAAAAACAAAGGATGCAATGGTACATAGTAGAGGTGTGTTGTTGTTTTTTTTAATGTCCTAATTTGGCAAAAATCAAAGTTAGCCTCCCCCCCGCCCTCCCCCATGTCAAACCTCAAACATTATTAACTTTTCTTTTTTGAAGAAAATTCACTAGTCTGTGACATTTTTAAGTTTTGGGGAATTCCACTTTTCTAAAAAATAATCTTTCCCCAAAAGACACAACCTACACCCAGTTTCTGGATTAGAAACATGAGGTGGGTATCCCTGTGACTTCCCACCAGGAAAAGCAGCCTGGAAAGACGGTGTAGGTTCCATTTTTATCTCTGAAATGTTAAATATCTGGGTTAAGTTATCAGCCTAACAAAAGACCGAAAGGATTGGTAAAGGAAGAAAAAGCGCTTTCCTTTCTGCCTGGCGAGAGGGGAGAGTCGTGAACAGGGTGGGGGCCTGAAGATGAGGGAAGATGGCACAGGCCAAGGAGTCCTCCAGGGTGGCAGGGGGAAGACCACCCTCCCAGGGAAAACTGAAGCTCTTCCTCCGGGGAGGCTTCTGAGATAGATTCTGAGAGTCAGTAACTTGCCTAACTGTCCCAGGCACTAGATGACCCTGGGTCATTGAAATCCTTGCTACTCACCCACAAGACTGAAAACCCTGGGTCACCACCCCTTTAAAGAGCCTAGAGCCTAGGAGCAGAGACCCGTCGCCTTGTTCCCCCACCACCTCCAGTGCGCGCCTAGAAGGGGCCCCGGACAGAGTTAGGCCCTCAATAAACTCCTGGTGAATAAATGAACAGCACTACATAGTACAGTCAGTATATGAATCTCTGGCCTAGGTCACCAACCACACCTGATATTGTTAACTTGAATGTTCATCACAACTTCCACACTGCCATCTCATTACCATTCTTTGCAATTTCAAGAGAGTAATAAAAAGTAAAATCATGTAACCATACCATAAAGTTGACCAGCACAAGCAACCATCACTTTGGTTTACAACCACTCAACTCACAGACCCACTGAAACAAAAATGCGGGCCATGCTTGGGAAACCTAATAGCAAATGCCCCGACGCCTGCCTTAGAAATTATATGTAGACAAAACACTTCCTTAAATTATAAATCAGTATCTACGTCACTTAAAACCAATCTGCTAAACAAAAATATTTAGAGGGATTGTAATAATAAAGGCTTTTTAATAAATACAGAACTTAGGAGAAATAGACATTCTAACCTAATTACTGTTAACCAACCACCATTTCCAACTGAATGGGGTGAGTGCACACAGCCTTCCCAGACCTTCAGTGCTCTCATGTGAAGCACGCAGAAGCCACAGAACGATGACTATTGATAATGTCAATTGTCTCTCTTGACAAAGCACTGGAGGGGGGAGGGAGGAGGACATTCTAACCCAACACTTACACTCTAAATGCTTTTAGTGGCAGAAAAGGGAGCATTCCAAACACACTAAGCTACTAAAAAGCACTTCGCAAAAATGGTTTTCAATGTTTAAAAACTTTTCCTAGAACCTTTACTCTCATAAATAGCACTTAACCCTCAGCCATATATATCCAAGGCACCAAAGGCACGAAGTTCTTCAGTTTAACCTTACATTCTGAAAGAACACTAGGGTTTTATTTATATTGTGATTACCTTAATAGATTTTTTTTTAATTTACCACAACACCATCTTTCTAAAAAAAAATAGGAACCCTATTGCTCTAACTGCTTGAAATAGAAGTCTGATGTTTTTTAGGCCATTTCTTCTGTTTTGTTTTGTTTTTTAAGATACTCAATGTGAGTAAAGCTACTGTGAATTCTGCCACTCCCTATAGATCTAGAAATCAGCAAATATTACACAATTATACAGTGCTTAATGAAAAGCACAATAATTTAAGCATAAGCACAAGTCAGAAGTAAATGCCACCAGGCTGATAATTGCTGTAACTTCAAATATTGTTCTTTATGTGTGGAAGCAACCAGACTGTTACCTTCTGAGACAGCACAGCTGTCCTTCATAAGAGGTATCTTACATTTCTTGAGGTGGACTACTCATTACCATAGTATGGAGCAGTAAGGTATTCATGGTCCTCAAAAACTGTCCAAAACACATAAAAATTCTATTTATAGCCACGCATTGTGAAGTAACCAGTAAATCTACTACCCCCCCTCCCAGTTAAGAGCCCAATAAAATGATTATTAAAACATACAACCTAAACAAACTGCTAGTCATTGACGAATTCACTTGAACCTTTAAACTGTAAAATTATCTCCAAGATCTGGTTAAGGAAACTTACAGTTCTTATAGAAGTTTCCCTTCCATATTTTACACATACTATTTTTTCTTAATCTGACTAGTGGAGATAACTCTATATAGTAATCTATAGTAGTAATCAAAACCTGTAACTTAAAATCCTTCAGTAACATTTCAAGGAAATCACCAACGTCACACCCAGGAGTCAACCCCCAACTTTCCTAAAATAGTTGTGGAAAGATGTTTAAAAGTTAAGTGACAGAAAAAGATTAAAATACTCAAAGTTGATATTCAACATCCCAACCTAAACTATTCAAAACCAGATGACTGTTCAAAGGCAGAGTTTGGGAAGATTCTAATCTAAAGGATACAAGCTCATTTTCTTGAAATTGTATGTAAGTGCCCAGTTAGTTCTAAATAGGATTAGAAACCACAGTAGTACTATAAAATGTAATCACATTAGCATATTTGAATGTCATGATTAAAAACGCTGCCTCAGGAAAAAATAAAAAATAAAAAAACTCTGCCTGCTTCATTCCAAATCAATTAAGTCAGTTAAAGGATATTAATGTGAACTCAGAGCACCGTGTATTAGTTTTAGTTTCAGTATTATCAGTATTACAGATACTGTGGTCTGTGAAATGGCATTGAAATTTTTTATCTTGTCCTGAAAGAGAACTGTAAGGAAAATGGATAAAAAAAGAATTTTAATTAAGCAAGATTAAGCATTACTATCAATGAGTTCTTATTATGACTTAACCAGTACTACCTTAACATTTTGAAAAGATTTTAGAATATTGCTGTACCAAAGAGAGGGAGCGAGAACTAAAAAAGCAAATTGTTCTATCTTTACCTGTATTCTTTAACTCTCTACAAAGAAAATAGTGAATGCGTACAGGTACACACACATATATATATATTTGTATATAAACAGATATACAAATAACTTTAAGCATTATACCATACCATACCACTACTCTACACCCCTACACCTCTTTTCCCACAAGGCCAAAGTGAGTGTTTTTAATTGTACCCAACTTAACTTCAGATTAAACATAAACATGGCAGTCAATGCCTTTTAAAGGCATGAGGTGGTTCTTTACAGACATATAAATACTGCCCTCCCTGTCTTTGTAGAGAGTAAATACTAAAGTTGTAAGTTGGCCCTTTTAAATCACCTGTTTGCTTTCAAAATTAAGAAGAAAAAAAACCTCTTTTCAATTAATACATATAGTCAGTGTTCAGTGGATTCATATATGAACGACACTTATCCACTGATTAAGAATGAAAATACTTCTGGTATAAGTGAACTGTTTTTGAAGTTATCCAGATTTGATATAGGTAGGAAAAAAAACACACAAGTATTTATCCTAATGCTGATTCAAGAACAAAACATATCTGGGCTCTCAATCTCCAGGCCATATCACTATAAATTTTGAACAATTTTAAATTCAAAAGGCTTTCTGACACTAGAAAATAAGGAACACCTGTACACAAAACACAAGCGCCCACAAAAAAGCCAGAATCTTTGGTAAAGCTTAAGAACACAGCCTAAGGAATTAAACTCATTCTCTCATACAACTTGCTCAGCTGTCTTTTCAGGTTTAGTAATTTTATTTCTCAACTTGATCATAAAATTACCAAACTGGCCCCAAATTTCCAGTAACTCAGCTTTGCTGTTACCCTGGGCAGGAAGTAATGGGGATGTGAAGAACAGGCAGCCAGCAAGTGTTCCAATGCCCTTTTTCGGGAGGGTCCCAATGTTAGACATAAAGGGACAACTGGAGACAGCAGACGCTGGCAAGGGCTGCCCTTTTATTTATCAGGAAGATAAATTTATAACAAGAATTGAGCTTGCTTATCAGAGCTGCAGATTTTAAGAAAGGATGGTCCCTGTCCTCCCACTTCCTCAAAGTCAGATTCCTATCTGCCCTTACTCATGGTCTCACTTCAAAATCCTTTGCCCCACATACCACTGCACATGTGCCTAACTGTAGTACTGGTTGCAGAAAAACAAGCTAAATCACCTTATTCTTAAGCCAGCATTTCAGTAAAGTTGTTCTGCTACACCCAAAATGAGGCCATTAAGGTATAATGATCAAGCTTCCCTCACCCAAATTTAAGAAATTTCCTGCTGTCTTTGTGTAATTCAGTCTCCCACGTGCATTTAAACTAGTCAACACCCCTCCCCCACATCTGGAGATGAGTAGACAAATCTTCTCTCTTCCTACTGCCCTGGGTTTAATTCACAGGTTGGGACCAAAACCTTCACTATTTAGAGCATTTGATATGATTGGGATTCCTTTATTGCCTGGACTGTAAATACCTTCAGGTTTCTATTTTGTAACACCTCGGTAATGTGAAAACTATTCTAGCTATCCCAATTTAGTCATTTAATTTAAAGTCTCATTACATTTGTTTTATTCTATTGGCATGCTCATCAGTATATAGAACTGCCTCATGTTTTTATTCCTAAGGCTTGAAAATACCTAGCCAATAAAAAAAAAAAGAGAAAGAAAATACCTAGCCACTGTTCACCTATTAACCATTCTGCTACAGAATTTGACTGAAGTAGGAAATTAGGACTAAACCATTTAAGACAAGTCATACACAGCAACCTCAAAACTCATAATATACAAGCCATATTGGAACACCTTAAACTGAAATTTTTTTTGAGCAAGTGGAAACAAAGCTTCTTGTAAAACATAAGAGAAGGCCAATCACAGCCTTCAGAGTCAGATAAAAGCATATCTCTTTTTTATAAGTAGTACACTGTAGGCAGTCAAGAGTCATTAAAACTACTCCAAAGTCCTTATCAGCCAATATCAGGCTCGTGACAATGGAGAGAAAAGAATGTAACTTTATAAAGTGGGAAAACACATCTTTCGGGACCCCTGAGGCTCTCACCAAGCGGCTCCGAATTAAGAGTGCTCTGGAGTTGGGAAAAGGCAACCCCGCTGTGGCAAGAACATGCCATTTCATCATAAACACTGTTACATGAGAGAAAAGTGATGAGCATTTATCTGAAATGAGATAAAGGGACTGTCCTTGCCAGGCCATTATATTCCTGAGTATTTCATCAGTTTGTAAGTGACTTGATTAAGTCTTATTTTCAGATTTCCTCTTTAAAAGGACGACTGGGCTGCTATTCCTCCCAGAAGTTCCACTGCCAAACATGGAGGCTTACTTACAAAGAGAATGCAAATCCACCTCCACCTTAAACCTTAAAAGTAAAGGCAGAGCCAAAACCTTCACTCCTCCTCCTTCCTCCCCTACTACCCACAGAAGGGAGGGGGTTACGGTGCGATCTCAACAGATTCTTCTGGCTGAAGGGGGAAAATACTTTACAAGCTTTATTTCAGTGGTATATTAGTTCCCTTTTTTTTAATTAAGAAGTGAAAGGGAATAATATGAACCCAAGACAACTGCTAAACTTCGACCTCACAAGTTATTTCTTTAAAAAAAAAAAAAACGGCAAAAGTCAAACAGCAAAGTGTTAGAGGTGTTAAGATAAAAGGACTGAAAGAAGTGGGACACTGAAATATGTGTCCACCTAGAAAAGTGGTAATCTTCCCCCTACTTCCTCCTCCGGCATGCAAATCAATGTGCAGAGCTGCAGGCTTCCTCCTTACACCAAATAACTAAAATTCCAAACGATCAGATTAGTAACCCTATTCTAACAAATGAGCCAAATAAATAATAAAATTGACTTCTGGGTTTTTAAAGAAGGCCCTGTCTCTAGAACCTAATACTTACATAACATTAAATATGGCAGCAATGGGGGGGGGGGGGGGGAAGGGGTGACTTCACCTGAAACACCAGGGTTGAAAAACACAAACACACTACTACAGTCTTTGGAATACTGAACAAAACAGTATCTAAAATAAACATGACTTCTCAGAAAAAGCCATCTACCATTCAGGACACACCTTAAAAGTTCTCAGCACACATTAACTAAGCAAGCACACACTAGTGGTTCGATTGTTCTATTCTTTCAGACAAAAACCATTAGGTGATTGCTCTGCACTTGTCACTACAGACCCTAAACCCATTAGAAGCCCTAGGTCTATTACTCATCCTCCACATATTATAAATTTGGGCGCTTTAAGTCTATGGGTACCAAGGCGGCCCATCTACTCCCCGGGAAAAGGGACAGTAAAGAAGCGCTGATGAACTTCCTGACACGCAGGAGGGAAAGGAAAGGGCCTCCGGAGACCCCTACCTACGGCCCGGCCCGGCCGGCAGCTGCTGGGGCCCGGCCTTCCTTTTGTTGGGCTTAATCTCATGTCAACTCATTCAACCAACTCAAAAGCGATGAAGACGTAATTGCCTCAACCTGAACGGAATCAGACCGAGGCTCCTTAAAACATCCAGCGTAATGGCTGCAAACGACCTAGAAACCCGGGGAAGCGGCGAGGCTGCGGCGCGCACGGGGGTCGCCGGCCCGGGGCCCCGACCCGCCCGCAAGACGCCCCCAACCGCCATTTGCCTCGCCCGCTCAGGAATGCTCACCGCTCCCAGCCCCGGAGGTAAACTGAGGCCAGAAAGACTTCCCGGGGGAGCCACACACCGCAGCCTTCCACCCCGAGGCGACTCTCCTGCTCTTAGAGGGAAAAAGAAAAAAAAAAAGTTTCTGCGGCTCCAAATGGGAACAGGCTCCTGGGGTCCCGAGTGGCCACCGGTGGCTCTTTCCCGGCGGAGCAACTCCCCGCCCGCCCGCCCCCTCCGCCCAGGAACGCGGCAGCCCGGCCTCGGCGGCCGGACCCCGAATCCTCAAACGTGGGGTCCCACCCAGGACCTGAACGGCTGGGACCCCGGCGCGCAGGTACCGGCCTCGGCCCCCCGCGGGCCACCTCTCACCCGGCCGGCGGCGCAGGACCCGCCAGGCAAACCCCCACCAGAGCCGTCCCCCCTCCCCTCGCCCCCCCGCACCCCAATCCCGTGCCGCTAGCATTTGGGGGCCAAATCAAGAGGGAAGAGGGCTCTACATCTGAAACTGCGCGGTTTCGCCACTCAGCGCCCGCTGGCAGAAACTTCCCTTTTAGAAAAAAACACACTTTCAGGCGAACATTTCAGTCCCTCCTGCCCCTCGGAGTTCCTGGTTCTGCCTCCAGCCGGCCGGGGTCTCCCGCTAGAACTGAGTTAGGGAGACATTCTTCAAGCTCCTAATCTATGGGTTATTTTAGGGTTTTGTGTGGGGGGTTTTTAATCTTTAAAATTAAAGGGGGTGAATAAAAATCCTCGTTTCACACCCAGGAAGCACAGCCCTGCGCGCCGCCTCCTCAGAGATGGGCAGAAGACCGGGACTCCCAGGCACGGATTTGGGGCGCCCGGGGGGGCTCGCGGGGATGCGCGTCGGGGTCCGGGGCCTGGCCAGGCCCCTCCCCCGACCCCGGAGGACGCGCCCTCCGCCGGGCCGGGTGGACGGTCCCGGCCATTGTCTGCGGGGGACGCCTGTTAGGACGCATTGTTTTGGCCGTTGCCAACTTGCCCGGCCCCTCCCGGGCCACCGTGGGGGACCCCGCGTCGGCCGCCGCCCCCCGCGGCCGAGTGGGCAGGCCCGCCCCGCGGCGCCACCCAACTTTTGGGGAGCCCCCACGCACCCCCACGCAGCCCCCCCGCCCCCAGCCAGCTCGGCTGCTTCCCGAGTGTGTGACGGGGAAGCGCTGCCTGCACGCGCCGGGTGGGGAGGGGGCGCCCGAGAGGAGCGGAGCCGAGTGGGAACCGGGGCGCGGGCGGGGCGGCCGTCCGGGGAGGGGGCGAGGTAACGAGCACGGAGACCCGAGGGCGGCGCGGGGGGGCGCCCCCTGGGGCCCGGCGCGGGCGGGGGCGCGCCCCCTTTACCTGCGGCTCCGGCTCCTCGGCCATTTCCTCGCTCGGCGGCGGCCGGGACTGAACTGACACCACACGAGCGGGCCGAGGTTTGAATGAGGAGGGAGCGGGCGAGGGGAGGGGGCGGGGAGGCCGGAGGAGGGGAGGCGACGGGGAGTTTCTCTCGGCCTTTTGTGCGGACACCTCCCGGCTTCCTCACCGGCCCCGGCCCCCCGAAACAGATGGGGGGCCACGGGTCGAGGGGCGAAACCATCCCTCACGGGGGCCTCGAGCCTTGGAAGACCCCCCCAAAAGGAGCGCCCCGCGTCCCCGACCCCCCGCCCACCCCCGCCCGGAGGATTTGGGGGCCGGGCTCACCTCGGGCGCGGGGCTAAGGTGAGCGGGGTGGGGGTGCGCACGGGGGGCAAAGGCTCGGGCGCCCCCTACTCGTCCGCGAGGGGACAGTGCAGGCGCGGGGGGTCCCTAGAGCCGCCGCGACGAGGCGCGTCCGGCGCACCGGGACTGTTGGGTCAGAAAGTGCTCAGGGAGCAGCTGTTGCGCCCTCCCTCGGCCCCGCCGTTCGAATACGCCCCGCCCCCTGCCGACACCGGCCGCGGCCGCCCCCCGAGGCCCCGCCCGCCCCGCGGCCACGTGACCTCCGCAGGCGCGCCCCTGCCCCGCCCACCGCCGCGGGCTCCGCCTCCAGGGCGCGAGCGGACGAGCACGCGCACTCCCAGTTCTCGCCCCGGAGATTCCCGCGCACGCGCTCGCCTTTCCCCGCCCACACACGCCCCCCCTCCCTCCCGCCATCCGGCCGAACGTGGAACCGCGAACGCCCGGCGGTTCCAGTGACAGGTACGCGGGGAGGGGGCCACGACGGCAGCGCGCAGGCGCAGACCCAGGCCTGCCGGGCCGCCTCCCCCTCCCTTGCAAGGTGTGCCCGGGCCAGGGGCGGAGCTGGCCGCCCGAGCTCCTGGGTCATCCAGAATTACCAACAAACAAACAAAAAGCCTTCACACCCATGTGGGCAGGTTAACCGGCAGCGGTGCACAAACAGCACTATTTTTCAGGTTTTCCTCAAGTGTGAGGAAGGTCGATATGACAAGACGATTAACATGTTTTTTAATGAGTATCTTCAGAAAGCTATCCTTTGTTGTTACTTTTCTAAAAGGTCTGGGTTTGCGCTTATAACTTCGGATTTATTCACTTGGCCTAGGTTCCAAGAATCCACTTGGCTTTGATAGACATCCACGTGGATGAAACCGGGCTTATTAAAATGGAAACCAAAAAAAAAAAAAAAAAAAAAGCTTTCCCCCTCCTCCCCACGCCTAACTCATTTAAAGCGTTTTCCTACTGTTCTTTCTCTGCTCACACACACAAAAAAAGGTTATGATTCCAAGGACACTGATTCCCCCCATTTTAAGCTCCAGGAGGAATCACGGAAGCACAATCGCACCCACTAAGTTTTCTGCCCCAAGATGCAAACGAATGCAAATACGAACGGAGCTATGCAAGTCACCACGAACAAAATCGCCCCGTTTTTGTTTTTTTTGTCGTGTGTGTTTTGTTTTTACCTTCCGTGTATCCAAAATGGAAAAACTTAAAACATAACAAGAAAGGCACTTAAAATACAACAGTTAATAAATCAGGACTAAAAAAAAAAAAAAAGAGAGAGAGAAAAAGCCACTCTGTAAGTGCTTGGCTGGTGAGCAATGCAATCCTTAATAAATAGGAAATGGAATTTGAGAGGCAGCTTCTCAGCAAAGGGGAAGCATTCACACAGCATGATGTTTTTGCTGTCGTCTTATACAGAACTACTAGTCCCACAGACAGACGGGCTGGTTAGCCTTTTCTAAAGAAATGAGCCAATTACTTGCAATCAATTAGCAGTGCCAGAAGTAGATTCTTAGGCCAGAACTCTTTTTTTTTTTTTTAATCAAGTACACTGATACCGATTACTTCCAGCAATAGGTTCCCTTTCTCGGGGAAGATGAATACCTCTCTTTAAGATACTTTTCAGAGCCTCAGACACAGTCACATCCTGAAACACAGTCCAGAGGCATCCTCTTCATAAACAAGAAGCTTCACTGAACTTCCCAAAACAAATGACTTCCCCCCTCGCTCCTCAACAAAGAAGCTATGAACTAGTGGAACCAGGTTGAGTCTTAACCTAAGAGGAGCCTCACTCTACATGTTAATGGATAACCTTTGAACTCTGAAACCCTGAATGCTGTAAACACAATGGCACTACTGGTAGTTTAAAATCCTGCTATCAAAACTGAGCAAGAAAGAAAAGTCCAAACTTCTTCAGTAGGAATGGGGAAACAATCAAATGTTTTGACAAATACTCGTTTCACTAAGAACAATAGGACTCCTGGCTCTCAGACCTTGTTGCTACTGAATTATTCTCAGAGCAAAAAAGGGTTGTGCTTTTTTTTCCCTCCGTGCCCTCACAAAGCTACCACTTTGTTAGCATAATAACATCATATGGTCTGTTAACCACTATTTCTCTCTCCCTATCCCCCCCCCAAAAAAAACCTTATTATGTTGTAGCTTTTAAAATTGAAAGATGATTGTATTAACTGATCTATCTGCTAAGAGTTTTATATGTGATCCTTATGTTTGAGCAAGGAATTACAAAGACCTTATTCTTGGAGGCACGCCAACAAAAAACTGGGAAATGGTTGCAAAATTCTGCCAGTGACTGAGTGCTGGGTTGCAAACACATACTGTGTTTTTAAATGGACGTAGAGTGATCTGAATTTGATGTAAGGGCACATGTGAGACACAATCTCCCTTTAGAAGAGAGAGACTCATACTTAAGATGTGTTGGGAAAGCTGGTATAGTTAAAACAATTAAAAATGGAAACTCCAAAAGTAACAGACCACTAGGAGCATGTGGTTTTGTCATGAGGGTGAAAAATTCATATTGTTATGGTGTGAA